ATAGATAGATTTACCAAGAATACGCATGCCTTGGCTCCTCGTGACTTGAAATACACCAGAACAACAATAAAAAAAACAATAACAAGACAAGATAATAAGCAAATAACAATGTACTTAAAAGAATGATAAACAAATAAACTTAGATTCAATCAAACGAAATCATCGGAAAATGAGTCCAAAGATATGATCAAGAGAGTGTAATGAGTTAATGACTAATCAATAGTGAAATGCATTAATCAGTTCCCATCCTAGAACATGAATCACTTTTATGGTACTAATCACCTAGTTAATTATTTAATTTACTAGGTGACTCTCCGTGTTATATGCGGTTAAATATTTTTTAGAAATGAAATAAATTAAAAAAATATTATTTCGTGGTTAAAAATTGCAAATGATGTTCAATTTAGATTTAAGTTCAATTTTCTTTATATGAAATAATATTTTTTTTGTTTTTTTCGGTTTATTGGCACTTATTCTATTTTCATTAATAACATTGACGATAAGTTCATTTACAATCCAATTAACAAAAAAAAAACAATTGAATTGGTCATTGAATCCAATTTTATATCGTAATAACCAAGTAAAATTTTGTCGTTTCTAATTTTTTTTTCATTTCTATTGATGTTGTAGTGTCGACCTTATCGTTAACACATTGCAGCAAACTACTACTACTCTGTATGTAAATTATTTTAAAGCTTAAAAATTTGACAAAATAAAATACGACATAGTTTGATCAATTGTGTCCAATATCCATTTGGTTAAACTCGTGTGAATTATTCTATTTGTGAATAACAATATCTAAAATAAAAATATCTACTATAGATAATATTTCATGGTTTGATTTTGGTTTGTGTTTGCATTTTAATCAAAATATCCTTTAGTCGAATAGATCTGATCAATATTTTTTTTGTTAGATTCAATAGTGAATTTGGACATTTAGATTAATTTTTTTTAATTTCACGTAAATTGTAAAAATATTCATATTTTATTATTTGCTTATAACTTTATATATAAAATATGAAGTTTACTATAAAAATAGAAATGATTTAGAACAATAGTTTACATAGTGCTTATTTGTTAAATAAATATGTATCATAAGTATAAATTATGTTAAAGTTGGCTTGTCCGAATATCTTAAGTAGAATTTAGATGTTTTAAAACATTAAATATATAAACATAAATTTTCTAAATGAAACACGGACTAAATTTGTTTTTGTTACTTTCGAAGTAAAAAATGTTTTTGTTACTTTCAAATTGTTTTGTGTTAAAAAAATATTTAGAATAATTATATTTGTTGTTATAAATTTGGGAAGTGTTTTTTCATAAAACATATCAAAATTTCTTTAAAAAATTTGGTCAATCTTTATTATTAATTTCAAAAATATATATATTTTATAAAAATGTTCTAGAATTTTATTATTAAAATAATCAATTTCTAACTATTTTTAAATGAGAAACAAAAATTTATATATAATTTTAGAATGAAAAGCGAAAATCTGATAAATTTAAGTAGTTTGTGAGATTAATTTTAGTCGGTATAAGTTTTAGTGCGATAATTACAATAAAAAAATGTTGTGAGTGTAATTTTTGAGTTAGTTGGCTAAATTTAAGTAGTTTTGTAAAATTAATTTTCGTGGGTATAAGGTTTAGTGGGCTAAATTAGTGGGATAAATATTTGATAAATTTTGTCAGTTCACATTTTATATAATGCCAGGTTACAATACATTTTGGGAGAGTGATTTTAGATAAGATACAAAAATTTTTTTGGAAGAATTACTTTCCAAATAAAGTAATAATGTATAAGAGATGGTACTAATCACCTTGTTAATTATTTAATTTAGCTAAACTTTTATTTGTAAATTAATTATTCAATAAGTATTAAAAAACATGCATCACTAATGAAAGACTAATCAATGGTTTGTCATTAACGGAGAAAATTTATAAGAGATTTTTAGCGTGGTGCAAAGAAAATCGTTTGTATAATCTTCCGTATAGTTAGTTCTTATAATTTGTAGTAATGATTTATAAATTCAGTCGATGAAAAAAAAATCAATTGTTTGTCAGATTGTGTAACAAAACCAAGTAGTGTTCTTAGAACAAAGAATGTAAAAAATCCCAAAAATATGTTAAGTGTTATCGACCCTTCTCCATCGTTACTAGAACAGTAAAAATTCTACTTGATAAATTTCACATCCTGTATCTTCCATTTCGATC